TATTTTATTATTAAATAAATATTGTTTGCTGTGGGATGAGTATATGTTACCAGGGATGAGTTTCTCCAATTTTTATTCCCCAAAGGATTTTAAAAGAAAAAAATACTTTCAGTGGTTGCTTACTATACACCAGAATACGTATATGATTGCCTGAACGCATCTCACGTAATTTTACCTTTAGAAAATTGAGCAGGGTTCAACAAGGATGTCACTATTACTATTGGTTAAATTTATGAATTTCAAGGGAGGACAGTTTGATATCTTGGCGTGCAACATTCCTGTTGAACCTATCATGAAATAAATAGTAATGGATAAAAAATCATTTAAAGGGCTATCTGTGAGATAACAACTCCATAAAAAGAGGACCAATTCAAAATAATTCGGTGAATTATCCAAAAGAGTCATAATTTGACTTTTAGTCGAGAATCCTAATATTTATATGGCATATCATTGATAGCCGTAGAATGTAATTTCTTTGATAAAATTTTTAGCACGCAATACTTTGGCCATACCATATGCAAGCAATTAACGATAAAGGTGCAAAAGATTCCTTTATAAATAGATAGTTTTATTAAGCCATTATGAGAGTTTTAACTCTCTTTCAATATCAAGCGAATCTAATTATGGAAAATTCAATGTCAAATACAATTTTATACTATATACTTGATTCGACTATCATTTTAGATATACTGATACTGCTGACCAATCGCATTTATGCAATTTATTATCTAATCAAGCGAATCATGAATCACGCGTAACAGTGTCACATAGCAATTTACTATCTATGAAACACGCGTGATTAGAACTTTAAGATTAAATGAAAATTCTCCTCCAACATAAGTGTAACATGTACTATTTCCATTAACTCGTACCCATTCATCATCGTATATTAATGTGGTCAAAGTTTTTTCTTCAATTCCAAAATAAATAAAAATGTCAACTTTTACATTACCGATAATTGATATTTCTTCATTTACGACAACAACAAAAAAAACTCAAGAAGTTGATGAATTAAAATTAAAAACAGCCAAAGAAATTCATGAAGCATGTATGAAAACCGGATTTTTTTATATCAAAGGTCATAATGTACCGAAAGAAATATGTGATAATGTTTTGAACTTGGGTAGAGAATTCTTTAAATTATCACAGGAAGAAAAAAATAAACTTAGTATTTCTAATGAAGACTATAGGTAATTTGCAAAAGTAATAAAAGTAATAAATATTATTATATAAAAATAATTAAATTACTTATAATAATAATAATCAAACAATATAGAGGTTATCAAAGACTTGGAGAAAACGTTACAAGATATCAAAAAGATTGGCACGAAGTAAAGCATTTATTTATTTTATCTTATCTTTGACATATCTAATAATTAATAAATAAAATTTTATGTAGGCACTTGATTATTACAAACCTATTCCACCTACTCACCCATTAGTAATAGGCAATTTGCCATTGAAAGGTGAAAATAGATGGCCAGAACACCCATCAGAATTTCGTAAAGTATTTGAGGAATATATAGAATATATGAAAGATTTAGGGGCCAAAGTCATGAGTGCAATTGCTTTAGGATTAGGTCTAGAAGAAAATTATTTTGTAGAATATTTAGATGATTCATTTTGGTAATTAATTTTGTATTAGAATTAATGAATTGTGATTTTGGAAAAATAAAATAATATTATTGAGATTTATTGATTGATTGATTTAGGGTGATGAGAATTATCGGATATCCATCTCTTAGGAGTTCAAGAGGCACGGATAGAGTAGGATTTAGTTGTGGCGAGCATACTGGTATAATTATTATTTTTATCATAATTACTATATTGATAATTATGATTTATTAATTCATATTATATTTATAGATTATGGGTAAATTAAATTATTTCTCTGGTATAATTTTTAGTTTTAATATTATTAATAATTCATTATTTTTATTATTGTTGTTTGTAAAGTTGTCTAACCTTTTTAAACCAGGTAAAAAAATTTTTTATTACAAAAATATCAAATTATATGATTATTATTTATTAATTGATTTGATTGATTAGGATAATATTAAAGGAGCATTGGAAGTTAGAACAAAAAATGGAGATTGGATCCAAGCTGATCCTATACCAGATGCATTTGTAGTAAATATTGGTGATATGCTAAATGTAAGTAATCTGCTTTTTAATAATCATTAAAATTTAATTGAAAATCGATAATTAATTAATAGTTATAAAAAAATAGATTTGGACAAATAACTTATATCAAAGCACTTTACATAGAGTAATTCATAAAAGTGATGATTATCGAGTTTCGTAAGTTGTAACTAATTTAATGTAATGATGATAATCACTATTATTATATTTACTATTACTATTAGCCTTACTATTACCATTAACAATATTTTATTTATAGAGTTCCTTTTTTTTATGAACCAAATTTTGATGCAAAGATTAATCCAATTGAACAATGTCTTAAAATCGATCCAATTAAACATTATGATTCAGTAATATATGGCGAACATCTAATCAAGAAGGTAAAATTATATATAAGTCAAAATTATAAAGTAAATTATTTACTAATAACACAAATTTTTATTAAAAATTAATTAATTCCTCTTTTTTTAGGTGACTGTGAATTTTGAAGTCGCTTGAAATTATTATTTATTTCAAAATATCTTTTCTAGATTATATTTATTAATCATCACGTCATATCAGATGGATGAAAATTTATTTCTAAATTCAAAACAGATTTCAATCCTAGATTTTTTAGTAATTATATCATTGTTTTCATCTTGCAGCCTCTTGATGATTATATCTTTCACCCATCCATTTCTAAATGACCAATTTCAACTAATGCTCACCATAAAATTATCCGACCAATTATGCATTTGGTCAAAAAAATAACGTGATTATGAATCATTTTAAGCCACGTGAGAAAAAAATTACCAACTATTTATCAAATGACAAGCATAACTTTAAATTTTATTTCTAAAATAAAATAATTAATTTTAAACAATGGATCCTTCATCTCCAACTATTAAAAACTTTGATGCAATATCAAGACTCCAAATGAAAGAGCAAACAATTGATGAAATTTATGGTATTCCTGAAAATTTTCTTGAAATTGAAGTGCGGAATCCTCAAACGCATGGTATTTTTTTGAAAAGTTACAGAATTTTAGAAAATCATGATACAGTAACTCAATTATATAATTATATTTATATTATCTA